CACACACACACACACACACACACACACTCTCGAGATGCATCGTTCTGTCTGTTGCTTGTTCATTGATTACAACGCCTGTCCGTTAGCTCGATAAGAAGCTAGTTCGATTCACATGACCGAAAGATGACCCACGTCCGTGAAATAATTACAGTAATTTGAAATTCGAATTCGCCGTTTTTTATTCGTCCGGTCACTCTGTGCGAGCCGCTTTCCAATAGAATAGTTGACAGTTTGAAAGCAGAAAACTTCATTTCGTTCCATCTCATGTTTCGACTCGAAAAACCACCGAGAGCATCCGATAGCTTCGTTTCCTACTGTTCCAACTACGGATGGAATTTCCAAGTCAGTTAAATCTATCCCTCGTAGTAACTGAAGGCATGCGATTCAACCAAATTCAGTGTGTGATAGTAACAAATTTTTCTGTAAGACGGTATCCTACAGAGCATGTACAGTAACTCACATCGTCACTTAGTTACCACGCCAGTTGAGCTCGTAGCTCAACGAGAGTTGCTCGCAGAGGTGATGGGGGCCACCCCTGCATTCTGTTGCTAATAGAAGGTACATACCCGAAATAACTGCTCGAAAAATTGAGTCCAACTGATCGTCGACACGATTACCTTGAACATCATATTGGAAAAGGTTAAGGGTTAGGGACTCTGAACAATTTTTGCGGCAGCTCTTTGGGCACAGAGATGAAAATATGTTTTCTCTCTTTCATCGACAAAATCTCATCTTTAACTGATCTTGGACGGCCAATAGAATAAGTCCCATCATGGCATTGCTAATAGGTCCAAGGGATTTACCGGTGAAAGGAGAAGAACCACTTGTGAGGAACCTATCTGCTAACAAACACGAACCAAGCAGTTACACATCGTTAGCTGCGAGAGAAAACAACAAATATGCACATTGTTACCGAAAACGAGGCATTCTCACGCATCCTCTTGAAGTTTGTTGACATTCACCGACTACTAACAGTAGTAAACGAACACTGCAAAGTGATTTCACAAGTTCAGTAGTAAACTTCACCTTCCATAAGATGCGGAAGCGGAGCCGGGGCACCAGACCATAGACTACTCGCATGCTTTGAGAGTAGTATGCACCGCTGCACTGGTATTTCTCAGTTCATAACTGAATAATCGACTGGTCTGGCAGCTAATCCACGGGAATGTATTGGCAGGTACCTCGTCTTTTTTTACTGAGTTAGAATCAAATATTTCGCAATGGAAACAAGGAGCAAACATATTGGAAATCGCATATCTACCAGCTCTCCTGTTTTTATTCTTTGAAAAATGCGTTTCCTTGCATATCAGTTTGGTTTTCAAGGGAGATCCCCTTAATCCCAGATAAACCGCTCATCTATCTCAAATGAACGCGGTTCAGTAGGCTGTTTCATGTTTCAGTTCATACGATATCCGAAATGTGGCCTAAGGTCGCTGGAAAATACTCGGCAGACCACGATCGAGTTAGTTGATATTGAGGCGCACCAGGTTTTGCGCAGTGCCCGTCAACATTATGTTCTACCTGAACCCAAGTCACAAGATATACCATGAGGTGGCCTGGTGCTGCACATTTAGTTGGGAAAGAACATCATAAACGAGAGATTCACATGGGTTTCATGTGTTTCCTGTCAAAAATAAATTGGTAAACAAATGAGTGCATTTCGTTGTGCAATTTGGTTTCACGTTGGACATGAGTTTCACGGAAACTTTGTGTCTGCATCTACCTGATGAACCGCAAGTAAAGCGGAACCGGTAGTGGGCTGTTGATTGTTACCGAAAACGAGGCATTCTCACGCATCCTCTTGAAGTTTGTTGACATTCACCGACTACTAACAGTAGTAAACGAACACTGCAAAGTGATTTCACAAGTTCAGTAGTAAACTTCACCTTCCATAAGATGCGGAAGCGGAGCCGGGGCACCAGACCATAGACTACTCGCATGCTTTGAGAGTAGTATGCACCGCTGCACTGGTATTTCTCAGTTCATAACTGAATAATCGACTGGTCTGGCAGCTAATCCACGGGAATGTATTGGCAGGTACCTCGTCTTTTTTACTGAGTTAGAATCAAATATTTCGCAATGGAAACAAGGAGCAAACATATTGGAAATCGCATATCTACCAGCTCTCCTGTTTTTATTCTTTGAAAAATGCGTTTCCTTGCATATCAGTTTGGTTTTCAAGGGAGATCCCCTTAATCCCAGATAAACCGCTCATCTATCTCAAATGAACGCGGTTCAGTAGGCTGTTTCATGTTTCAGTTCATACGATATCCGAAATGTGGCCTAAGGTCGCTGGAAAATACTCGGCAGACCACGATCGAGTTAGTTGATATTGAGGCGCACCAGGTTTTGCGCAGTGCCCGTCAACATTATGTATGTTCTACACCCAAGTCACAAGATATACCATGAGGTGGCCTGGTGCTGCACATTTAGTTGGGAAAGAACATCATAAACGAGAGATTCACATGGGTTTCATGTGAGTTTCCTGTCAAAAATAAATTGGTAAACAAATGAGTGCATTTCGTTGTGCAATTTGGTTTCACGTTGGACATGAGTTTCACGGAAACTTTGTGTCTGCATCTACCTGATGAACCGCAAGTAAAGCGGAACCGGTAGTGGGCTGTTGAGTAGTTTTCAGCAGCCTTATGAGTAGTGGGCTGCTTCTATAAAACTGACTTAATGTTCACAGTTAGTGTGCATTCTGGTCTGTCTTGCTTGTGTGTCGTTTTCAAATAAGCCATTCTGGGTGCCAGAGGATCAACACTTCTGTTGGTATCGTATCGTTTTATATGTTTTGACTCACTCCGTCACTCAGGTAATATGCAGTTTGATCTGAATAAGACAGAGCAGAGGTTGATCGTCCAAGTGTTCTTTGCAAACGAATTTTGCGCTCGATCGATGCAGCTACATGACGTTTCCTACATAAACAAAGACGAAAGATTCAATTGAGTCTCCCGTGAAAACCAAATTGATTTGCAAATGAGTGTATTTTTCGAAAAATAGTCCAATTTGGGTTCGAGTAGATCATAATGTTGACGGAAACTAGGGAACTGCTCACAAGGTTGCTGAAAACTCTTCGACAGCTCACGACCGGTTTCGTCCTTCTTGGGGCCCATCAGGTAGGTGCAGTTCCTATGAAAATGACAAATACGTGTTCTCTAACTTTCTGAACTTGAGTTGGAACGTAGAGTTTACGCTAAGTGAGTGGTCTTCATCAGACTGGGACATTGCCTCTTTTCATCTGTTGTTGTTTGTTCAGACGAAAACACAAGTTTCTAACGTGAAAGTGGACTTGATCGGTACCAAGTCAATCACAGATCCGTGGTTTTTACTTCACGAGATTAGGCTATTAATTTGATCGACTTACAGACCGTACTTGATAATTAGCGGACAAAGATCCTGTGCTTAGAAAAACGGGCGTGAGATGATCAGAAAACGGACCGTCTTGATAGCGCAGTACACACCTTAAGGCTCGTGGCCAAACAACATCATTTTTTGAGGTTTTCAGCCAGTTGATTCAACAAGCGAGATGAACACTATGAATGGGTATTCAATGTGATTGAGTTCCAGCAGTAAGGAGGTTCATTTCATACTTTATCGACAGATGTCCAATAGCAGACCAAATATTACAGGTGGCCGGCCTGTAATAATTACAGGAACTCCCATGCCTGACTTGCTGTATTCATGTCAAGCGTGTCCCAGTGGGAAATGTGGTTTTTAGCCTGGTTTCGCCGCTTCATCCTCTTCTCCACCCACGCCTCTCGTGTCCGGACTATATTTGACACCCTGTGGGCTCCTGCTAGCCTGTCTTCACGAGCAGTGCGTGGGTGTGTAAGATTGAAGCACCCAATCAGAAAAGAGTTTGGACGGCCTTCGACATATCAACAGCTCAAGGCCATCTCAACCGTGAAACTACTCGGCTTTGGTTGTGGTTATATTAGTGGTGAAACTGGAGTGTACTGCTGCGAGTCATGGAATGTAAGTGGACTAGAAAGCTCACCGGCGTGTAAAGCTCGATAGAGTAAGTGGATAATTATTTAGACTACTGTATAAGTTCTGTTTTCTTTAAAAACTTTAGCTATGTCGTCAAATTTTTAAGCGATTCAGATAACTTGCCATAATTCTTTCTACTTACCATGGTGACCACTTCATCGCCAAGAGTTTTAAGCTAACAAAATAACATTACCGCCCCTGATATATGAACGTTGTCATTATCTTGTACCGCTTACAAAATTCATGACAAGCCATCGGTCTTCAGGTGCCAGGTGTCGTCAAGTTAATTCACATTCACCTCACCATGAAAGTTAAGGGTCTGTTGAGTGCAAGAGACATCTGTTGTCAGTCTTGTTAACAAAAGAATCCCGGTCAGTTCTATACACTATGCGAAACAATTATAAGAAAAGGTTTTTGAGACAACTTGGTCCATTTAAAGGCTAGGTTCTAACTGACAAAATAGCTACAGAGAAAACGCTTGAACTACTCACTTTATGACTATTTTACACGGATCAACGCGATAAAAGCAAGGTCAAAAGTGAGTGGTAACTAACCAAATCACCCAAGTGCTCAGCTGTTAGCAAAAGCCCAAAAAATTAGTCCTGCCGTATGTTGTTTTCTCGAGCTATCGATGAGGAAGAGTACACCTTTTTGACTAACATCCATAGGGGTTCCATACCCTGTTTAGCTTGAGTTTCTATTCGCTTGATAACCTTCTAACTCGCGTTGTTTTGAAGCACGCTTTTTGAACATGCCTCGAATTCTTAGAAGTTTTAGTAGGGTTTTGAATTTTCAACCGGTATTTCATCTGGCAACTTCCGAACACCGAGGGGGCATTGTACATCTGCTCTGGCCTTCTTGGGAGTCATCGGCACTGCGTAGCGCACGAATTCCTATGTAGATCGAAAGCTGTGAAACTATCCATAAACAAATGTCTAGTTGGTTTGAATTTAGACTCAGGTGGCCGACTTTGATGAACGGTAATCTCTTGCCCAAAAGCGGAGTCTCTATCACGAAGGACCTCCTCAAACGGCCGAGCAAAAGTGGCTCTCCTCAGGGCTGATCTTTACTGGTGATGGCAACTGTAGTTAACTACAAACACGATGCAATATACACTTCTTCGTCTGGGTAAATCCGCTTTAACACATGAAAACTGGAAAGTGCCCTCGCATGAAATGGAGTGGATGGGACCTGGCGCGTATGCGAAACAAGCGATTTAGATCTGAACCGGCATGACAGACTCTAACCCAAAACTAAAAAAAATCACTCTGACCACGAATGCACACAAGGTATTCAAAAGTATGTGTTCTAGTCAGTTTACTTCTAAGACCTAGCAAGCGAGTAACAGGATGTTAAACGAACCAGTTTATCAGCGCTTCCAATGCGCAGCTACCTCCCCCACCTTCCCGAATCACTGGTGAACCAAACTGTAGCAGCTAAGATCACTGTACGACAAGTACGCGGTTCTTACAGCCGACAATGATGATGGGTGATGATGATGATGATGATGAAGATGATGTTAAATGGACCAAATGACGATGAGATGATGTTAAATGGACCAATCACACGATTAGAGAACCGTCGACGACCGGATTATTCGCAACCTTGGATACCCCTGGGTTAGCCAGGAATAGTCGCGTCTAGTTTTTTCGCTGGGGCAAGCACCTGGGGATCGCCGAGGCCCATCTCAGATTCATTTCACCCTACAGATGGAGACAATCTATGCTGAGGAGCCGCGGACTGCTGCAAAGCTGTCGCATTATTGCTTGGATTCGTCGCCCATGCACATTTCATGGATATCTCAAACCTTAAAACCCTGCAACATTCCAGATTAAATCCCATGAATGGCTAATCAGCCATGTCATTGACTTTCATCTAGACAGAGATAAAGCACCAGTCACCACCTAAGTGGCCTGCTTCATTCTGAAGTCCTCGAAATTGTGAGACATTTGAAGTTGTATATCATGGCTGGTAATCGAACTAGGCCAAAATCGGCACTTCGAAGTACAGCGTACTTGTCAGATTTGTTCAATTCACGTTCAAATCACTCTCGTTTGAACAGTTGTCCTCTTGTTCTAGCGTAATTATTCCGGCGAGTTCACATCAAAGTTGGACCCGCATAGGCGATGTCTGGAGTCCGAACCGCGTCACATCCAATGATGTGCGCTGCTGATGGGCTGGGAACTCGAGTCCAGTGCCCCCCCATCCGCCAGGATAATTATGCCAGGACAGGGAGACGACTGTTCAAACGAGAATCTATTTGATTATATTGTCATCACACACCTGGTGGCTGATTTGCTGCTACCAAGGTTGTAATTAATGAGCCGTTATATTTTTAAAGCCAATTCCTGAACTCACAACCAGCACTCCTGACTTTCAAATAGTGACGTTTTACGGAAGGAATACCATTTAAACTACTAATTCGAGTTACAAGAAAAGTCTATAGGACTTTGGAAGTATGTTTTTTTACTTCCGGTAACATATGGTTCGGCATCCCCTGTACTTGGTAGGGTGATCGATTCACGTCCGGTGTCTCATCTGGTCATTCAACAGGTTCACCTGAGGCCGATGTTATATAAGCTGAATTATCCCGCCCGACAACAAAAACTACAAACAGACATAAATTTGGACGGGCAGATAGAAATTACGGTCGGTATGATCATTGCATATTATTTTTACATCGATTTCTATCCCTGACAAAATAAGATCTGGCGGTGTACTGGGCGGTTTCGACGGAGAACTGACCTTTCATTGTGGCGTATTGTTCGTCAGCCGATTTTTATACACTTTGTTGGAAAACCTCACTGATAATTGTTGTGCCAATGCGGTCTCAATTCATGTGTATCTTCAATCTGTCGCAATAATATCACTGGGCGTTCCCCACTCAAGCATTCTGGAGGGTTCTTTTGTACCGCAGGGCGTCACTGTTTGGTGAGATTGGAAAATTATACCCGGACCAATCAGTACGATAACAGAGGAATTATTCCTTCTTTAAGAATGGTCAGCCACTCGCGAATTTCGATGGAGTTCCAGCCGTACACTTCATCGATGGGCTGGATGTGAACAGCCTGTATGTGTGTGTGGGAGCCAACTGCTAGTGAAGAGCACTATGGCTAACTTGTATTCGTACTGTTTTTGTGACTGTTGCGGTGTGAGTGGGTTTACGAATGGGGATGCAATTTGTGGAAACAACTCGAGATATGCTTGAATTTGTGTTAATGATGGAATAATAATCCCTGTTTTATGGAGGAATTTACTCATCATAGGCAGTTGTTTCTTTGTGGTATAAAAACCCCATGACTGGCTCAAAACTGGAGGGCAACCCCGTGTGGTTTGGTATAAATAAGGTAAATAAATAAATAAATAAATTAAAAGATAAATATATATATATATAAGGTTAATAAGATGACTCATACTCATAGTTGTTCACAGCGTTGCCGATTAATTGGATTAAAATGCGTTCGAATCCAGGCCATCCTTGTTCAACTGTATCACTGATGAAATAATGAAGCGAACGCTGGAAGGTATTCAAAACCCCGATGTTCAAATTGTTGCTGGTGAGAGCCTTGTCCATCTGCAGTGCGCAGATAACATCCCCTCATCTTTGAAGACCAAAGCAAAGCACAAGCCTTAACACAAGACTGACCACCATCACACCATCTTTTGGCATGTTCCTTGCACGTTCAAAGTGCAAGATCATCCTTGAGAACGTAAAGTCTAAGAACATATCCCTTACAATTCAAGCAGAATCACTAGAGACTGTGGAAAACTTTACATACTCTGGCAGTCATATTAGCTCTGACGGAAGTGTGTCTAATGAAGTCAGTGCAAGAATGTCAAAGGTTCGAATCACGTTTGTTAATTTGCGTCACTTGTGGCGTCATTAAGACATCTCACCAGATCTTAAGGGTCGTGTGTACCAGATTACAGTAAGGGCTGTGTTTTTGTATGGGTGCGAGACATGGCCTCTGCGGACACATGGTGTGAGGCTCCTAAGGTTTACGACCACCGATGCCTCAGAAGCGTGGTTGGTTTTGGATGGCGTGTTAGTAACGAAGTGATTAGAAAACGAGTAGTTGGTTGTGCTGCAGGTACTTCAATCGGAGAAAACATCCGGCACCACCGGTTGTGATGACTCAGTCGTCTGTTACGCATACCGAAACACCGTCTACCGAGACGAGTGTTGTTTTCCGTGCATCTTTCATAATGGCGCAAACCGCACGACTCGGCTGAAGGGTATGAGAGAAATCACGAAGAGTTTGGGTGTTGCTGGCGTTTTAGGCCTTCCAAGATGGGGTCCCCGTGACCGCGTCTGTGTTTGACTGGAGACGTTGCAAGAAATGGCGGCTAGTCGGTGTCAGTGGTATTGGTGCAGTCAGTTTCTTTCCATATTATCTGATTGATTGAGCGGTAGGCACCTCAAAAGCGCTTGACATACGTCAGCACTAGTTCTCCTCCCTCACGCACTCTTTCTGTTTTCACTCTAGGGCTTTAAATATAATCATATATATATATGTATGTATATAGTCAGACGAACCTTATGGTTGTACGGCAGTGAAGCATCAGTGTCAAAACTGATGTTGCTGTCCTTGGTGGTGGTGATGATGATGATGAGCCCACATAAATTCAACCGTAGTTTTTTCACAATGCGCACTCAGTTGCCAATCATTTGTTTCGTGACTGCGTATGGTCCTGGGGAAGGACTGTAAGTATTGAGTGCGGATGACACTGGAAAGCCTGTCCGGAATCAGTCAATTGTCTCTGCATCTTTTTGCATAGATAGACCAATATTTTGGATGGAGAACACATAACGTTGTACATTACAGCAGATAAGCCATTGGACGAAGGTCGAACTAAAATAACACGAGATTCCATTGTCAGTCTCGGCATGCAGGTTGACGAATTTTTGTCGTACCGTTGATTACCAATCACAATAAGGTCAGGTGGCAAGGCTGTTTTCAACGCTCAATTCGCGACATGCTAGCTGAGAAGTCGACACAACCAAGTGATCTATCGTTTTGAGTGTCT